AGACAGACAGACAGACAGACAGACAGACAGACAGACAGACAGTCAAAGAGAGACAGACAGACAGACAGACAAAGAGAGACAGAGAGAGAGACAGAAAGAACACTGTGCGCTGACAGACGGAGTGAGACAGAGTGAGACAGAGAGAGACAGAAAGAACACTGTGCTCTGACAGACGGAGTGAGACTATGCCGTACATATTCAAGTTATCATCCTATTCCAAAGTTTCCAAAAATATAATACAAAACAAAGCATTGAAATTCCACTGTCTGCCCAATCCGATTGTTTTCGAAGGTGGTTGGCGGATGCTCTGGTGTGGTTTGCTTCTTCTTTCCTTTCAAACATCTATCGTCTTTATCTCCCCTCCTTCTTTTTTGTGTTTGTTCCTCTCTTGTCGTAACAACTCTAATCTTCGGCACTTAGTTATGTGACTTGATTGTGTTGCAAGTGCCGTAAAACTCTTGCTAAAAACAAAAACTAGATTTTTTTCTTCAACGAAAGCAAAAAAAATAGAGAAAACAAAAAAAAAAGAAGAAAAAAGTTTGTGAGCGTCATGATGAGGGTGAAAAAACCGACAACAGAGAGTGTTCTCATCAACCTCAGCTCTTTATTCAGAGGTGAGCACTGTGACTCAGTGATTGGCTCCGGGAGCAAATACAACAAAAACAACCCGCAACAAAAACAAAAAACATTCAAATGTCTTACTTGATATTAACAATGAAATAACTTTCATTACAAATCTTTCTTCTTCTTCTTGTTCACCTGTAATAATGATGAGGCAGTTTGGTGAAATCACGCACTCGTCAAAACAACGAAGTCAAACATACCGGAATTTTTCTGGGCGTTAATTAAAAAATAAAAACTTTAAAAAAAGTAAATTTCCAGTTTTCAAGGACACTCAAGCATCGGAAGTCACCAAACTTGTGGCGGCCATTTTCTCTTTACTTTCCCCTCTCCCACCAGGTGACCTCCACCTCTCCCACCAGGTGACCTCCACCTCTCCCACCAGGCGACCTCCACCTCTCCCACCAGACGACCTCTCCCACCAGACGACCTCCACCTCTCCCACTTCAGGATCCATTCCATAGTCTGTCCGGTTATAATCTCCATCATGATCTGGTTGGAGATCCGTCGGACTGGTCCGCACAGATGGCTGTGTTTCCCCTCTCCTCTTTGGATCCCCTTCTCCTTCAATCTCCCTAGAGTGTGGGAACCGCTCTTCGCCCTATTCTTCCTCATATTTTCCTTTACAGCGGTTAGGACCATTTCTTTCGAATGCTGAAAGTCACCGTCTAGTTTAATGTAGTCATTTTTTTCCTTTAATTTCAGCGCTGAACTTCACCGTGGAATTCGTGTACATTTTACTATTTCTTTCCAATGCTGAAAGTCACCGTCTAGTTTA